CGGACATGACATGACCATCCCAACCCAGGACCTCATCACAGCTATGTGAGAGCCAATGGGAGGAGTACCATGAAATGCTGTCCTCCGGACATGACATGACCATCCCAACCCAGGACCTCATCACAGCTATGTGAGAGCCAATGGGAGGAGTACCATGAAATGCTGTCCTCCGGACATGACATGACCATCCCAACCCAGGACCTCATCACAGCTATGTGAGAGCCAATGGGAGGAGTACCATGAAATGCTGTCCTCCGACATGATATGACCATCCCAACCCAGGACCTCATCACAGCTATGGCAACCTGCAAAAGTCAAGCCAACAATGTCAGTCAACATTCCCACAGGCAGTGCTCAGCTGGTTACAGAAAAGATGTGAAGAGGGATGGAATGTATGGAGGTGCCTGGGGGGAGCGGGAGGTGTACAATACGATCAAGATGCAAAAACAAAAGAAAGCCAGGTGGTGGTAATGCACACCTTTAATCCTGGCACACGAGAAGCAGAGACAGGGGGATCTCTGTGAGTTCGAGGCCAGCCTGGTCTACAAGAGCTAGTTGCAGGACAGATAGGACCGTTACACAGAGAAAAACCAAAAGATATATTGTTTATATGTAAGAAAATGTCAAAAAAAAATAAATACAAAAAACCCAGAAGACAAATTAACTTCTACAGTCAATATTTAATATTGTAATACTCTAATATCTTTACAAGTATGTGATATCTTTGGTCCAATCAACTGTTTTTACGCCTGATCCTTATGTGGAAAGGCTGCTAGGGTTCACACTGTAGAAGCAAGAAAACTACCCTGCAGGGAGAGAGAAAAAATGTGGAGGAAAGTAAAATTCTACAATTCCTAAGTTTAGAGATGCCATAAACATGAAGTAAAAAAAAAAACCAACTAAGAAACCAGTTAACAAAAAGTAGTAATGAACAAAAATTAAAGAAAAAACAATTTAATAGCCCAAAGCAAAGATTTTAGATATTTAAAATGATCAGTGATACAACAGTATTATCTATTAAAAAAAGTCAAATGAGCTGGACATGGTGGTGCAAGACCTTTAATATCAGCACTCGGGACGCAGAGACTGGAGCATCTCTGAGTCTGAGGCTAGCCAGTCCACATAGCAAGTTCCAGGTCTGCCAAAGCTATATATACATACTAAAAACCAAAATAAACGAATGACATAATGAACATGTAAATGTGAAGAGATGCATTAGGAATCTTAGACACGATGCTGCACTTTACAGAGCACCTTGTAAGCCTAACACACACAAGAAGAAAATCAGCTGCTGTACACTGAGGAGAGTAGAGACCTGAGACCTGGGCTAGGGTAGACTGCGTAATCAGACTTAACCAGAAAAGCCGCTTGAGTGGGTTATTAAAGCATTAGAGAACAAGGCACTGAGAATTCTTTTTTGTTTGGTTTTTTCGAGACAGGGTTTCTCTGTAGCTTTGGAGCCTGTCCTGGAACTAGCTCTTGTAGACCAGGCTGGCCTCGAACTCACAGAGATCCGCTTAGTATATTAAAAAACAAAACAGATGAGGATTTCTCAGCAATTCATAGAAGACAAAAGTCAGACCCAAAGGAAATTATAAATAAACCCCAAACCTTTCAATCTATGCACTCAATGACTGGTTTAATAGGATACAGGGTCCATCAAGAAATAAAGGCCTAGGGCTGGAGAGATGGCCAGGCAGGTGAAGTCCTTGCTGTGTAAGCATGAGAACCTGAGTTTGGATCCTCAGCACTTACATCCCTGTAATCCCAGAGATGGGGGAACACGAAGTTCCCAGGGGCTTCTGGGCCAGCAGTCTTGCCTAATGGGCTAGCTCCAGTGAGAGACTCGTCTCAAAAAAATAAGGTGGAGAGTGATAGAGGAAGACTCCTGAGGTTGATCTCTGTCTCTACACACACACACACACACACACACACACACACACACCACCCGGGGCTGTCTTGGGAGGCCGAGGCAAGATAGGATCTTGAGTTTGAAATCAGCCTAATCAATTTATCAAGACTGTCTCAAAAGGACAAAAAAGGAAAAAAATTAAAAAGAGGGAGTGTATAAATCTTTGTGAATTTAAGGCTAGCTTGGTTTACCATCCTCTTGAAACCAGCAACCCGCCCACCTATACTCCTCTTCTTGCCCCGGACCCATTTTCACTTGGGGGTGACTAATGTGAAACTTTATCAGACATCTGGTTCTTACTTCAGGGCCATTCAATGTTTTATCGTCCAAAAGTTCCCCTTAAATAAGACATCTCAATGGTACAGGTCTAATCAGCCCATTCCCAAAATTAATTATTTTTCCCTCACTCACATTACTTCCACTAACCTGACTTTCAAGTAATTAAAAAAGTATGAATTAATGTTACCTCATACAGTCTCTTAATTAACTTAATTTCCCTAGAACTACTGTGTCAAAACAATGAAAACAGCCTAAACTTCTGCATTATATTCTCAGCAGATCCTTTATAGTTCCAGGACAGTCAGGGTGGTTACACGGAGAAACGCTGTCTGCAAAAAAACCCGACACACACACACACACACACACACACACGGAGGAGGAGGCGCAGCGGCAGCAGCAGCAGCTGCAACATTCTAAGAAAAAAAAAATGGCTGAAATTTTTCTGAAATTCATTAAAGGCACCAAAGACAAACCTGAATATTCCTGACTCCAACCCAGAATAATACGAAGAAAACCATATGGAAGCCTAATACAGTTTGCTGAAAACAATCAGAAAAACAGTGGAAGCAGACAGCAGGGAGTGGAGGGGGAGCCATTCTTAGGCAAGAATAAGAAAAGGATGATTAGAATTATCAAACAAACAAAACAACTACCAGAAAACAAAAAAGGCAGGAAAAACGTAGGTCTCCTGATGTTAAGACAGATGATCTCCTGAGTTCTTGCTAACCAAAGAGTAGGTATTTTACAGTTCAAGGCACATTGAGAGCCTGGTAATGGCAGTGTGCCACACACCTTTAATCCCAGCTTGAGAGACAGAGGCTCTTTATGAGTTCGAGGCCAGCTTGGTTTACAAAGCAAGTTCCAAGATAGCCAGGGCTACAGAGAGAGAAATTCTATCTTGGGGAAAACACAAACAAATGAACAAAGAAAGATAATGCTTCTTTTATCAGAAAGTATTTCTGGTACAATGGTTAATACATAGGTTCTCAACCTGTGGGCCATGACACCTTTCCCAAAAAGTATTTACATTATGATTCCTAACAGTGGCAAAATTACATTTATGAAGTAGCAATGGAAATACTTTTATAGTTGGGGGGGGGTCACCATAACATAAGGGACCATATTAAAAGGCCACAGAATTAGGAAGGATGAGAACCACTGGTTTAGTAGATGGGATAGTGTTCAAGCAATGTAAAGGTTATAATAACTGTTGCAAAGACTTTTCTCATTTAAAGAAAAACACAGGGCATCACCTGTAGATCCCAACACTTGGGAAGCTTAGGCAGCAAGACCACAGAATTGCAAGGCCAGCCTGGGCTCCATAAGCAAGACACTTGTTTGGAAAGAAAGATGGAAGGAAGGAAATGAAAGGATGAATTCTTAAACACTCTGGGTACTGAATACTGTAGCTACTGACATAGATGGAAAAAATACAGACATGTGTATAATTATGTTAAAGTGGACGTAGGTATTACATAAAACCTCAAAGAGAAAACCATGGATCTATAAAAGGAGATAATGAAAAATTTTCAATAAAAATTCTTTTCCAATGTAAAATTTTTCTCAAGTTATAAAACATATTCAAAGACAAAAAGTACAATCTTTAAAAAGAATTCAATCCACATAGGAATATAAGTAACACCTTAATATAATACAGAATTCGGACAGTACATTAGAAAAAGAAAGCTAGGCTTACAAATGAGAGATAAGCCCAACATTAATGGGATAACCATTAATACTAAAGGTATACAAATATAAAGAGGTACAGACAATCCAATCATAAAATTTACTGCTTGCACGCACACACGCATGCTCGCACGCACGCACCAAACAAACAAATCCAGAAACTTAAGATTGGAATTTGACGGGATAGCTATCAAGCAAAGAACACACTTAGAAGCATTCTAAGGGTTGCTGCTTCTAAGTGTTGCTCTGGCTTAATAAATACAGTTAAGCCACTTTGTTTATATTGATTAGTTAATTGTGTCCAAGTGTTTCAACACTTTAAAAGATCACCCGATTTCCCAACAGCAGAGATGAGGTCCAGGATATTGAGAACTTGACATGCCAGGAAAAAAAAAAAAAACCGCACCAATGTGCCCCGGAATCACGTCGCCTGGATTAAGATGTCTATCTACCCAAAAGAAAATACTCAAGTTTGTGAAACTCTAATTGTGCTGTAAACCTTTAAAAGTTGCAGTCCCATGTCTTACCGATTTAAATCAAAGCAAATAAAAAACTTTACAGGCCTTAGACAGACACACACAACACAATCTGGCACACAAAGGCCACCCACAGATTTAGAATTCTTGTTTTAGAGTTGTTCTTTCAACTCTCAACCCGAAACATTAGCTAAGTTATGCTGAAAAAGAATGCCGGGGTGTAAGCTTGCGTTCTAGGTTACGTAAAAGTGACCTTTGGGGCGTTACAACCAGCATCTGGAGAGGCTGTAAACAGCCTTTCCCATGACTTTTGCTCCCTATTCTTGTCCAGGCCAGGCGGACGTCGCGCTCGGCCACGGACCCAAGCTCAAAGCTTTGAAGCCGGTCAGGCTGCCTCGTCCCCCAGGTGCCGCAAATAAAAAGCCTCCGCTTTTCTTTCCAGCACTGGCACCCGTGAAGCCGACCGGACACCCCGGGGGAGACCTCGCGGCTGCACCGCCAGCAGATGTCAGACTCGGAGACCCTGGGGTGCTCGCCCGGGGCCGGCTGCGAAAAGGCGATGCCTCCCCCCAATAACGGCTTCAACCGCCTCCTGCCAGGTCCCCGCCCTGGCCGCAAAACTCGCGTCCCAAAGGTTTCACACTCACTGGAAAGTGGGACAGGGGCCCGCGCCTGGGCCCGAGCCGGCCCCGGGAATTCGGCGGGTCTCCCAGGGTTTCGGGGGCGGCGGCGGCTGAGACGCCATCTCTCCGCCTGCTCCGCTACGGCTCTGGGCCGCGACTGCGACGGCTAGAAGAAGGAGCGCCTCGCTTGCCAGGCACGACGGGCAGAGCGCCGAGCCCTCCACCCCGCCCACGCCTGACGTCAGGCCGAGGCTTGTGGTCGGCTTTAACCTGAGAGACGATGGAGGGCGGGGACATCTAATTCACGGGGGCTGGCGTGGGAGGAGGGGCGGAACCTTTCTTTTTGATTTTTTCCCTAGATTGGGCTTCAAATTTGAGTAGGGGCTCATCGACATTTCTGGCAGCAGCTAATATGCCCTAGATGCCGAGTCCCACGGAGGTTTCTTCGCGGGTCGACCCCCTAGGGCTAGCAGGGAAGCCCTTTGCGGGCTTGCGTTCGCGGGGCTACCCAGAGTCTAAGACTGCAAGCCCCGCAGCCTTACAGATCGCCCTGTAAGCAAGAGGGCGCCTTCACGTCCTCCTTTCGTGAAAGGCCTGGTACTTTTCTTCTAAAGCTCTGGTTTCCTTGGGGGAACAGAACTGATAGGCGCCGCAGGTGCTCTGTCTTTAGTCTTCCCCGATCCCACCTCCGACCCAAGGGTCTTGGCTCCAGCAGCTTGGGAGAAGGTAAGGCCGAGGAGGTAATGAGGTGAGGGGTTAGAGACTGGATGCCAAAAAAGGTGCACCTGGACTCCTTTTTGTTTGTTAGCCAGGTGGAGTGAGTGGGAAGTTACTAGAACCATAGCAAAGAGAGTTAAGGGCTGTGAGCGCTTCCCATGCCTCTCCTCCCAACCACGCCTGTGCATGTGGCAATGCAGTTAAAGAGATTTTATGGTGGAAAACTCAGACTATTTCAGGTTTTTTTCCCCACATGCTTTATTCTTTCTTCCATTTTCGAGTATTATTATTTTTGTAATTGCGAAAACAAAGTCTTCCCTCCCCATTTCATGAGACTGGGCTGGTTACGGGGTCTGTGGAGAAGGGAGTGGATTCCAGTAGAGATCCTGACACCTGGGAGATGCTTCTGTTGCAACTTTTCTGTTCTTCTGTAAAAGAAACAAACAGCAAAAGTCTTAACAGCGGCCACCCACATTGAAAAAACTGGGTGAGAGGTATTTCTCGGGGCTTGTTTCCCAAGGTAAGTCCAGTATCCGACCATGACTCATTTCTGTTGACAAAATCCTGCCTTTTCATCACATCGATGTGAAATAACCATCTTCAAGGCGTATGTTCTTTTAATTGTTAACGTGCTTGAGGGGTCGCTGGATTTCTGCTAGTTGAGAATGGTACTGCGTCCTTTTACAGCCCCGTACTTTGATTATTAACACACGAGGGTTTCGTTTGTTTGAGTTGCTTGAGACTCCATCAAATCACTTAGGACAGGAGGTTTGGCAATTCTCAACAAGTTTGGGAACTTTTCAGAGCCCGGAGATTTGGGTTACTTATTGGCTTTGCACAATACTTTTATTCTAGTGACCTATGGAGAAATAGCATTCAGTCTTTAAGCCAAAAGGAAGAACCTAAATTTGAACATTGTTAATTAAGTCCAGAGGTAAGGCTTCACTGTGCCTTTTGAAAGCCTTCACTGCCTTTTGAAAGAGCTTATTGTTTCCTTTTTTGTTCTATTTTTGTTTTTGTTTTTGTTTTTTTTTTTTTTTTTTGATTTTTCAAGACAGGGTTTCTCCGTAGCCTTTAGTTCCTGGAACTAGCTCTTGTAGACCTGGCTGGCCTCGAACTCACAGAGATCCGCCTGTCTCTGCCTCCCGAGTGCTGGGATTAAAGGCATGCACCACCACCGCCCGGCTTTTGTTCTATTTTTTTAAAGGAAGATGTATTTTTTTTTTTGAGTTAAAGGTTAATTCTGTATTGAATCAAATGCTTCATGTTAACTAATACTGAAGTTTCTCTATAAGTTTGCTTTTCTGTCTGGTCAACCCACTTTCAAATAACCACACATATTTACTACTAATTATAAATGCTTAGCTGATAGCTTAGGCTTATTTTTAGCTAGCTTAAATTAACCCATAAAATAACCACATATTAGTCCATGTGCTGCCCCAAGGCTCCTAGCCTGATCGCTCTGGGTCTCTGGTGTCTCCTCTGACTCTACCCTTTTTCTCCCCAGCATTCTCTCTGCCCTGAAAATCTTGTCTAGCCATGGGCCAATTTATTAACAATAAGCGCAACACATCTTTACAGTGCACAGAAGGATATTCCACAGCATTTCTCTGTTAGGGGTTTCTCCCTACCTACCTACCTACCCACCCCACCCTCTCCCTTCCCTCTCCCTCTCAACTCTTCCTTTCCTCTCCAAAGTCTTACTCTGTAGCCCAGACTGGCTTTGATTCCCTATTAAGCCCAGGTTGGTCTTGAATTCATGGTGATCTGCTTGCTTCAGCCTCCTGTGTACTGAAATTACCAGTGTGGACCACCACACTTGGCCAGAGGATGCATTTTACATAATTATTTCCAGCTCCTCACAGACTCTTTACTTGACATTAAACGAGCAGGTTAAGTGAGCTACTGGAAGAGATTCAGATAGTGGAAGAAATACTTGACCACATGGTTTCATGACTTTTTTTTTTTTTTTTTTTTTTTTTTTAAGAGAAGAGTATGTCATCATGTTTTAAGCACTTTCTCGAAAGGTTTATGTAGGTAATGGAGTGGTCCCAAGGCCTGGTGTGAGAAAGTTCTTACTGTCATGTGCAGAATGAGCCTGGCCCCTATAATTCACATACTCACATAGTCAAGTTCATAGTTTAGAATATAGATGTGACAAGTATTGTTGAATACAAAATAGAATTTTTCAAAAGAAAGCTAGTTTTTCTTCTTAAGGGCGTATTTGTATGTAGCAAAAATCAAACTGTTCACTTTCTTTTCTTCTAGTTATAATTATTCAGCATGTTTCCACTGACTGAGGAAAACAAGCATGTGGCCCAGATGTTGCTCAGTTCTGGTACCTGTCCCAGATGTATCTTCAGATTCTGTGGTGTGGATCTTCATGCACCTTACAAACGCCCATCCAAGGTATTTTCTGTTTACATTCAGGGATGCCTTTTTTAGTTTAGAACAAATGTCATTAGCTTTGAGCACAGTGGTCCATAACTCCACCAAACAAGGAGAATTAACGAAACTATTCCTACTAAGGTCATTTTGGAACTGCAATTAATTGCCTTAAACATTTGATTAGGAATACAGTTGCTTTCTGATTGATTGCATTACCATTTAACAGTTAATGGAGAGGGGACTTTGTTAGAAGTTTTTGCTACATTCATTACTTGTGTATACATTTTATAAAGGGCATCTAAACAAAATATCATAAGATGATGCTTCTTCCCTGACGTTAATGCTATGCGGCAGGAGGGACAGGGTCATAGTCCTGATTTCTTCTTTTAGTAGAAAATGAGTTCGTTTACTCTTTTAAAATAAATTTTTGTCTATTATTTTTATGAATATGCATATATTTATGAATATGGTGCGTGTGTGTCACAGATGTATATGTGGAAGGTAGTAGTGTGTGTGTGTGTGACACAGATGTATATCTGGAAGTTAGTAAGTGTGTGTGTGTGTCTGTGTGTGTGTGTGTGAGACACAGATGTATGTGTGGAAGCTAGTTCTCTCCTTCCACCATAGATCCTGGGAAATCAAGCAGGTTAGAAGGCTTGTGTGCCAAGTACTTTTACCCAGCAGGCCGTGCTTCTTGTCCTGGTTATTTCCCTTGTTGTGTATTACCATTTATATATACGTATATATTCTTCTGATGCTGGCCAGTGAACCCAGGGCTTCACATGTGCCAGTGAATCCTGGCACCGATCCATCCATGTCCCCAGCCAACTGCTTACTTCACTCAGTAAAGGGGATATGTTCTGAGAAGATGTCCTTCAATGATTTTGTGCTCCTGTGAGCCTCATGAAGTGTACTTAAATTAAGGTTTAAGATGCAGTGTTAGCAGGCAATGTAATGTAGGGCCCACCGTCCACAGCCGTGCAGTCTGCATTGTCAGGAACACTATGCTTCCTGGCTGTGTCAGGAAGTCTTTAAAAGTAAGTGCTTAGCATAATCATTATTTCTGATACTAGTAACACAAGAAACTTACAGAACTTTTTTACATTTACAATAATACACAGAGAGCTGTGCCACTGAGTAGAACATTTTCACACAGAGTATAAAATATGCCTGTGACATATGGTTGATACTAACAAAGATGTTCTTTTCAAAGGCAAATCATTGTGTACATTGTTTTTCTATATCATTGTGTTGTTTCTACTGTTAGAAATAATATTAGATCCTAATGTTCAGCTAGTGTTTCTGCATGTCAAGCTTTCATTTAATCTTTTGTGAGTACATGCTGTGATTATCTCTATTTTCAGATGAAGCAACTGAAACACAGAGAGGTTAAGCAGCCTGCCTAAAGTTAAACAGCTATTAAGTGAGCAAGCTAGGACTTGAACAGTATCTCTGAACCCAAAGCCTAGGATTTGGAGCTACAAGATGTGGATTTGAATCTCAGTTCGTCACTGCTCACCTTCCGTTTACTTCTCTGTACGTGGGAATGGTGATAACCTCTACCTCACGGAGTTTTAAGGACATGATCTATTAAGTATGTGAAAGCAGTTGGAAAGCAGAAGTGGCATCCGCAGTGGTAGTTGCTGTGTGTGTAAATGCTCAGCTTATATCCAGTTCTGTGCAGTCTTCCTTATATACCCTTTCCACACACTTCGCACTATATCAATGTACTGGATTCAAATACATTTTATAGAGGGAGACTGTCAGCAACTTTGACCTGTAATATACTTTTGAATAAATATAGACACAATATTTGAAGGCTTTTTAAAAAATGTTTTAAGCTTTGTTTTGTTCCAGTCATATAGAGCTGTACATTAGCACACACGTACATATTATGTTATTCTCATGTTACAGACATTAGGTAGCAATTAACATTGTGTGGGTCATAGCATACTGTATGTGTGTATGTGTGAATTCTTAGTGAAAATTGGAGTGCTAATGTTTGAATGGGAAATGTTCTAAGTTTAGTATAATCTAACTGAATTCAAATGATTTATCCAATAACTAAATAATCAAACCTGATGTGTAAGAAGCACAAGCATTTAGGTGGGGTGGGGGAATAGCAGAAGTATTGGGGTGTTTATAAGGGGAGGCTTGTTTTTACATTCTAATACAAGGAATGACAGAAATTAGACAAAAATGTATAAGAGGGCTTCTTTTGCTTAATGCATATAAATGGATTGTAATTATGATGCCAAATTTTAGCACTGTCAAATCTAGATATTTTGACAAATTGTCTCAAAAATTATCTTCACTTGCTCAACCTCTAAATGATGAGATTTCACATTAACTAATGCTGTGCTGTGAGGTGTTAAATAATTTAGCAAGGATGAAAATCAGCTTGTACTTTCCAGTGTATGTGTGTGTGTGTCTTTCTGTCTCTTTGCTGTTGGAGTTGGAACCCAGGGCTTCATGCCTGTTAAGCAGGTATTCTGCCACTAAGCTACATCTCCATCCCAGTTTATATTTTATGTTTTAGTAATTATAATTGATTTTTTTTAAATTAGTAGTTGAATGACCTTCCCAATAAAACTAAAAACCAGATTTGTGACTTTGTTGATTGAGCCTTTCTATTTAAGATTGAGGCTTTAGCTTCATTGATTGTGAAATTCTTTCAGAAAAATATTCACATATGTAGTAGGCGTTTGATTGGTGTGTGGATTAAGTGGATTAACAATAAATTCAGTCACCAGTGTTGCATTAAAGACAGAAATCAAAGAACTTCTCCTTGGTGTCATTTAAACCAAGAGAGAGCCCAGATTTGAATTCTCTCCTTCATTCTCCTTGTGTCTCTGTCTCTCTGGTGTGTGAGTCTAATCTGTGCCCACCCAAAGGCTGTCTTGTAAATTTATCCCTATATCTGTCTTTCCTTTTGTGTCTGTTCCTAACAAAGGGCTTTGTTCTCTTTTTATTTTATTTTATTTTTTGTTTTTCAAGGCAGGGTTTCTCTGTGTAGCTTTGGTGCCTGTCCTGGAACTAGCTCTTGTAGACCAGGATGGCCTCGAACTCACGGAGATCCTCCTGCCTCTGCCTCCTGAGTCCTGGAATTAAAGGCGTGTGCTGACAACACCTGGCTCTTTTATTTTTTTTTAACACATTTTTAAATTTTATTTTTAATCATGAGTGTGTCTGTGTGAGTGTATGCCACCTGTGTGGGTGCCTATAGGGGCCAGAGGCTTGGGTCCCCTGGAGCTGGAATTACACGGTTGTGAGCCACTTGACGTGGTCTTCTGGAAGAACACTACATGTTTTTAACCACTCAGCTGAAGATGGACGCTAAAAAGAAATCCCACACAAGCTTAGAATTGAGTATAATAAAGGGTTATTTATTTAGGAGTAGACTCACAGATCACAGTCCTCTGTATGAACAGGGAACAGGAATCAAATCCGGCAGCTAGAAGAGAGAGTAAGTGCACTTTACACGGTGGCATTTATCGTGTAAGAAGCCACACCCATGTGGGTTGGCTACTGGCTGTAGGAATTCCTACAGCACCTCCCCCTTTTGTTTAAATAAGAGAGTTCTAAGCCTAATACAAAACTATATACAATAAGAACAGATATCAAGTATAAAAATTAGAATTCCAACCAGCATAAGTAATATCAAGCAACAAACATAGATAAATGTTTCAGTAACTATCCTATCCTAAGGAGTCTTAGTCTTGTGTTAGAAATAACTTGGCCATGAGAAGAAAGTAACTGTGACTGTCTAGTCTTTAACCCCATAAAAGACCTGAGAAGGGAAATAATATTATTTGAGTAAGGAGGAAGTGCAATCAAGCATCTTCCAAAATGTGCAACAAATGACAGAGACTACTGGCTACCTGGGCAATCGCCCAAAGTCTCATTTGCAATGTTGGAGCAACCAACTTTGGCTAAGGCCTAGAGTAACTGACAGACCATTTTCAGAGGCAGGGAATTTTCAAAATTGTCTTACCCTGTCTTGGTAAGATTTTTTTTTTTTTTTTTGATTTTTCAAGACAGGGTTTCTCTGTAGCTTTTTGGTTCCTGTCCTGGAACTAGCTCTTGTAGACCAGGCTGGCCTAGAACTCACAGAGATCCACCTGCCTCTGCCTCCCCAGTGCTGGGATTAAAGGAGCCACCGCCCGGCTCCTTGGTAAGATTTGGCAGTCTTTTTTTCTTGTATTCTGATTGTCCTGTCTGGACACCATGCATTTTGTCAGCAGTTGATGCATGGGCAATTCTTTGCCCAAAGGCCATTTTGTGGAGTGTCTTCAGTGCTCAACATTCTCTTGGGAATAGATAAATGCAGCCAGGAGCAATTGTGTCTCACATCAACAGAATCTTAAGTTATTTAAATGCCATATCTACAGTTCTTTGAAGTGGTTGCAGATTACCTATCTATGCGAAATACAATCTAAAGAACATGATTAATCTACTATAAGTATGACAAACTTGGATGACTATTGACCTATAATCCTTAATACCTATATAGCTTAAAGACTAAGACTTCATATTAGAATATTAAACAATCTTTAAACAACTGTGCAACAAATGAGGACAATGACCTCAAAATGTAAACAATGTATAAGTGTCTTGATCAGAGGTAGAAATGTACAGTGCAATATGATAAATATATCCTAAAATTGTATCAATATACAAAATGTTTTAAGCAGAGATCGAAGCATGCATGCATATAATATGACAAAATATCTTTGCCTAGATATTGTACAATATTTGTGTACAAATATTGTAAACAGAAATAGGAGCATATTCAATAAAATTTAAATTCATATCAATATCAATCTATACCAAAGTAAATTGTTTATAAATAATAGCTCACAAGTATTCATTCTATTACTCACTATTATTATTAGTGTAAGCTCACACTAATCTACCTATTATCCCATCCAATTTCCCTCTTTTTTTTTTCCAGAGAGATCTCTGAGCCTACATAAATTTCACCCCAATTCCCAATCCTATACCAATTATAATCAACCTCT